CCAGGAAGGCGGGCGTGCAAGCAGCGGGAAACGATCCATCTTGTACCTTTTTCCCCATCGCTCTCTTTCTCCGGGCAGGAGCCTCTGAGGGGTCTTGCCTAGAGAGAGAGAGAGAGAGACACATACACACAGAGGGCAGCTGTGCTGCTGAGGCTGCTTTCTCCCCCTCCTCATCCTGCACCATCCGCTGCTGACTTCATGTCATTTCAGTGTGAAGGATAAAAGAACATGGAAATGTTCCTTTATTTTTATATTTATATATTTTAAAGAGTGCTGTTGCCAGAATTCCTGAGCCAGCCGTCCAGACTAGTTCCCCCAAAAGGGAATTTTTCTTCAGGTTCTGCCATAAACTATGCTGAAGATGCTGGGAATTGTCCGGGAGACAGGAACGTTTCCCAAGCTCTGGCGTGAGGACTGGGCTCTGTGGGGCCACCACCTCCTGCTGCCTTGTTACCCACCCAGAGAGAAGTGTTGGTGCACAAGTGGGCATGCAGATTGCCAACATTCTCCCTCAGGCAGCGCCATGGCTGTGGTGCCAGCCTGCTGCATCTCCTCTCCCCTCATCCCATAACAGTGCAAGAAAAGAGCGAGGTGAAGCCAGTGGTGCGTCCTGTCGCTGGTCTCCTCGGCAGCAGAACAGATGTGCCAGTCTCCCTGCTGTGTTTGTGCTCCCGTGGCAAGGCTGCAGTGGCTACTCCCCCCATGCTTTACCTCACACACATGTTCCTGGCCTGTTGTGCCTTTGGTCCCCTCCCGCCCTGATGCCAGAGGGCGAACAAACCCAAAGGAGAAGCTGCTCCCCCCATAGCTTCTGGCTCATCTGCCCCTCTCTTAATTGTAAGCCGCCTAGAGTGGTCGAATAAGACCAGATAGGCGGGATAGAAACATGGCTTCTGGCTCATCTTCCCCTCTCTTGCTTGAGTGGCACAGAGACCCTTCCCTCCATGCCTCCCAGAGAGATGGGGAAGCCACCAAGGTCCAGTAGGACCATTGTTTCTCAGCATCACCCAAGAGTGAAGAGCCTGCCTGGGACAGGGAGGGACAAGGGGTGCAGTAAGCTGTTGCTCCTGTTGCTTGAAAGGGACAGGCTGAGGTGTACCTGCTCTGTCTCCCACTCTCTCCGTCTTCTGTGGGCAGGATCCTCACTTCTGTCCCTGCCACAAAGAGAGTGAGGAAGCTCAGGTAACAAGTGGGAAAAACTCTCTTCAAGAGGGAGGCTGCCTGTAGAGAAGGGGCTCCCTTTTGTCTTTCCCTCCTATAAGCAATATATTTTCTCTCTGTGTGTCTCTCTTGCATGGGCTATGAAATGTACAGGAGGCATGCCTCACAGAGTTGTGGTGAGGAAGAGATAAAAGATACAGTAGTGTTATTATGCTCTGAGATTTTTTTTCTTTCTTCCATTAAATTATCAGGTACGTTTTTCTTTTTAGACTTAGTAGTGTGGAGTAGGGCTGCCCCCCTCTACTACTGTGGTGGTGGCGGTGGTGCTACAAAGCTAGAGATTATTATTCAGGAACCACTCCCAACCACTTATCTGCTTGTTACCTGAGGCTGTTCCCAGAGCGAGGGTGGGGCAGCACCCACCAGGTGAGGCCTACCCTTCCCCAGGGCTGTTCTCCTTCTGAAGTTCTGGGTCTTGTTTAACAAGGAACTGATCTCTTGGGTCCTGGTATGCATTTTATGTTGGTCTGCCTTACCTCAGGCCTTTGAGTCTGGGTGAAAGGGGAGTAAGCGGTTCGTCCCCACCCCTCCACAGATGAGGAAAAGGTGTTTGTGGAATTCTCTGCCTTGGGTGCTGAAATATCATTGCAATTTCTCCTGAGCGGGATAAGGGAATCTTTTGTTTTTCCTCAGGGAACAAAGTATCTTACGCCAAAACCAAGATCTGTGACTTGACTGCAGGGCTTTGAGTGCTCTTGTCTTCCTGGTAAAGAAGGCGGCAGCAATAGTAAACCATTTAACCTATCTCCATGCAACTGTCCTGAGAGAAAAGTATTGCTATAGGCAAGGGTCAAAGCAATATGAGATATAAATCAGTGCCTTTTATCTGCAGCATTTGCTTGGGAAATAAGAATTTTAATTAGCAGTGCATAAATTATGTTGAATTATATGGACTGAAGCAGTTGCCTCAGGCTAATTTGGGGTATAATGAAATGGAAGTATTTCTCTCTCCCCCTTTCTGCTTTTTGTGGGGGTATTATTAAATGCATTAGTTGAAATCCTGTTGGTTAGCATTGTAAGTCACACTAAAGTAGGCTTACTGAATCAATGACGGTTCAACTCTGCCATCAGTTCAATTGATTCAGATGGATCTACTCTAGTTGCTACTTACTTTAGCATAGTAAATGGCAATTAGAGTGAGCACATTTGAATCAGTGGAACTCTGGGTGGTATTGAATCATCAAATCCTCATTGATTCAGTAGGACTACTCTGAACTAAGCAACAAGATTGAAATCATTATTGCTTAGATTTTACTGCCAGAAAGGAGGAGCTGTGCATGTGGAATTCTGATTTTCCTTAGGCACAAAAAAATAATTGACCATCTTTTGGGTATCTTGTACAGTACTTAGGTTTGGGGGAGGAAATGGGCAGCTATCTTCTATTCTATTTGAAGCAGTAAACTGTCTTGGGCTCAAGTCTCACATAGTTGCCTCTTTTATTAATGCAAAGTGGGAGAGCTTAGACTTTAACAATGTCTGGAAAACAGACAAACTGCTAAAAGTGTATAGATTTGGTGTCTGTCTTTCTAACAATGTTACAACCACTGTCCAGTAGGGACTATGCAATAATATTTGTGGAGTTTTTAAAAAGATGTATTTGGATTAGAAATGTGTCGTGGAATCATGACACGCAATAAATGGGCAACAAATATTTCATAGAAAGTGTGGGGAGACGGAGAGAACACTGCATGGATTCAGACTAAGTTAAGGGGATCTATTATCAGTGGGATTTAAGCTACTTGGGTGCAGGGGAAGGACAATTTTGGTACCCACTGTGGGGTAGTGGATAGAGTGAGGGACTAGGACTCAGCAGGACATCTGGATTTAAATCCCTTCTGTGTCATGGAAATTTACCTGGCGGAGGAGGCAGCATTGATAAAACCACTCCTTGAATATCTTGCTTATCTTACAACTTGTTAGCCCATAAAATGCACCCCCCGTGCGCGCACACACACACACACGCGCACACTTTGAATATCTTGCTCATCTTACAACTTGTTAGCCCATAAAATGCGCCCGTGCGCGCGCGCGCACACGCACACGCACACGCACACACACACACACACACACACACACACACACACAGAGAGAGAGAGACAGAGACAGAGACAGAGACAGAGACAGAGAGATGGATTATGTCAAGATCTGAATCCAAACAATTGTCTTGGGAGATTCTTGGTGCATTAGAAAATTTTTTTGCATTTCAGACTTTTAATTCCATATTTGCCTTTAAGGTACTTGCTCTAATTGTATAATGAGTAGGACAGAAGAGTTGGTTTTATTTTTTGCAATATCTTGGATCATGTTTTAGTTATACCGCAGAAGGACACATCACTACATATTTCATTTCTCCATCTGTAAAAAGACACTGTGCTTCCCTGGACTGTTGCGAAGAGGATTATGATAAAGATTATAAAGCAATCTGTCAATTGAAAATGCTATGTAAATGATGAATCAGAATAGCTAATGCTTGAAAAAAATTGTGTTGAATGGGAAGAAACACTATCTTTCTAGTTATTTCTTGTCTGTCAACTGCTTTTGCTGCTCTTATATAAAAATTGGTTCGTGTTTGGATGGGAAGCTCGTAATTTGACACAAAAACAGCATGCAAATATTAACAGAAAAGTCCAGTGTCTTCTGGAGTTTGCCAGTCCTGCTTGTAGGGGACTCTTGTTAGCAAATTTAGGCACATTATGACTAGAGCTGGTAGAAGTTAGCTGTTTAGACTGCAGTTCTCAGAATCCACC